TTTCTAAGGTACTTCTACTTAACCTAGTCAATTCCACTTTACTATGTTCAGAAAAACAGAACTTATGTATTATGGATAAAAAATTGTTTAATCCTTACCATAGTAGTATTACTAACTAATTCCCTTATAATTTTCTTTACAAGGGGAAACATTTCATACAGTTCTGTGAGGCAAAAGAAGAACAAAAAAGTTTTGGGAATAACTTTTTCCCTATTTCACTACCTGTAGACCTTATTCTTGGGAATATCTGAGGAAAGCTAAAGAAGAAAAAAGTGTATTTCCTACCCAACTCAATTGAAAGTACAGATACTAATATCTGAGCTCAAGATTTCCCTTACATTGTCCATATAAAGGTAAAGGTTCTCCTCACTCATATGTGCTAGTCCTTCCCGACTCTAGGGGATGGTGCTCATCTCCGTTTCAAAGCCAAAGAGCCAGCGCTGTCCGAAGATGTCTCCATGGTCATGTGGCCGGCATGACTAAACGCCAAAGGCACATGGAACGTTGTTACCTTCCCACCAAAGGTGGTCCCTATTTTTCTACTTGCATTTTTTACGTGCTTTTGAACTGCTACGTTAGCAGAAACTGGGACAAGTAACAGGAGCTCACCCCATTATGTGGGACTAGGGATTTGAACTGCTGAACTGCCGACCTTTCGATCGACAAGCTCAACATCTTAGCCACTGAGCCACCACGTCCCCATTTACTGTATTTGTCCGTATTTACAACTATACAAAACATAACCACTAAAGCAGGAGCAGTCTATGTGGACCTGCCCTCATCTAAACATGTTTTCCTGGGAAACCTATGGAATAAAATAACCTATCTGAAGACTTAATGTTTTTGAATGTAAAGCAATGTAAAAGCAAGGTACTTGCAACTGTGTACAAATAGTTGTTAAAACTTTTCTCCTGTTTTGTTTTAGTAGGCATCATATGCATATTTTTCACTGTCTCTTTTTATGGGTTAGATTCTACTTTTGTATACAATGATACTAAGGGAATTTGCTCTTCCTTTCTTTTTCATGGGCATATACTGTTCTGCATGTCTTTTGTATCATGAAAGTAGAATATTTTCATCCTTTCCTACTGAATAAAACCATGCTACCTTCTCATTAACAGAAATGGCGGATTTGCCAATATGAAATATAAACTCTTCCAAGACTAAGCTCAGGTACAATAGCATGCTTTTACATAATGTTTTAATGAAATTCAGCCCAGATATCATTCTTTCCAGCAGCAATATCCGTCTGGTCTGGCTCCCAGCCAGCCATTAAGTATTTGATTTTGCTAGTTGAGGCTCTATCGAATTTGAAAATAGGAAATGACAGCCCCTGTTTTCCTGAGCTATATAAAAATTTAACTGTCTGTTGTATTTCAAAAATCCAAATGGAACATTATATTATCTATAAACACACAATTACACTTTACTAGCAATTGCCATACTATGTAACTAAATTTTCAATTGGAAGAAAAGATAATGATATCTACAAATTGACAAACTAAATGAAATCCAGCTGTATAAACTGTCTAATCTTTGCATTTGCAATGCCAGAAAAAAAGACCCTCAGGCCAAACTTTACATATCACAATTCATGTGTATTTTCCTACAGAGAGATTCATTCTATTAAGAAAATGACTGCAGTTGCACATTGTGTTAAGATATTGTTATTTTAACTATAGTTTGTGAGCAAGCCATAGTAGCTTGAGAGAGGGAGACAGAAGGGAGAGAGGGAGAGGGAAGGCGAGAGAGAGGGAGGGAGAGGGAAGGGAGAGAGGGAGAGGGAAGGGAGAGAGAGAAAGGGAAGGGAGAGAGGGAGAGGGAAGGAGAGAGAGGGAGGGAGAGGGAAGGGAGAGAGAGAGGGAAGGAGAGAAAAGTGAGGGAGGGAGAGGGAAGGGAGAGAGGGAGAGAGAAGGAGAAAGGGAGAGGGAAGGAGAGAGAAGGGAGAGAGGGAGAGGGAAGGGAGAGAGGGAAGGGAGAGAGGGAGAGGGAAGGGAGAGAGGGAGGGAGGGAGAGAGAAGGGAGTGAGAGAGGGAAGGAGAGAAAAGTGAGGGAGGGAGAGGGAAGGGAGAGAGGGAGAGGGAGAGGGAAGGAGAGAGAGGGGGAGGGAGGGAGGGAGAGAGAGAGAATGAGAATATTCAGCCAAATCCTTATTTTCAGGCAGTGATTTATTTTTAGTATATAATCCAAAATATATTTATACTAATGAAGATTCCCATTTCTTCATAGGGTCTAAATTTTCAGTACAGTATGTAATACGCTGTTTAAAATTTAGGTTAAATTTTGAAAAGATCAACTCAGCCCACCAAGGTTGACCTTAATAATTATGTCCAATGAGATACCTGGGGGTCAAATACTTCTTAGACACAATAGGAGTACTCTGGCTCAAAATAAAAACAATACTCCGATGTCTTGCAAACAGGAAGACCTAAAATAAATTAATTTTTCTATGGAAACAGAAATATTTGTCTTGTACACATTCTTATTTTATTTGGAAAAGTTTTCAAACACTAAGAGGAATTTTCCAGGAGAGAAAAAAAAACTCATTTTAATTAATAATATTGGATGTTTTGTTTAAAAAAGTCTGCACTGTGGACAGCACAGTGCTTAATGGTTCCACGTTAAAATCTTAAGTAATGCATGATACGACTTGTATCATGTTATTTGAAGGAAATCATACCAAATTGATAGGTGGCATATAAATTAAACAAACAAACAAATATCAAGTTTGCTGGGTCTTCCAAATATGCTTTAAACTTCTGCCTTAACAATAATTTAACCTGCATATATGCAAATCTATACAGTCCCTGTGAAACAATACAAATACTAACCTTATGAAACTAATCTAATTACTGAGTAGAACATTAATGTGGACATCTTTCCACTATGACCTTTATTGTCCACAAGTTCCCAAGAGACACATAGTGGAAAGTTATGGAACGTGTAATTGGTCAACACTTGTCGTAATAGACATTTTGCCACTGCAACAGTGACCGAGGACATGTCTCCTGCAGGTAAATCATGCCACAGGAATTATATTTACTTTTACCTACGACAAGAGATTGTTAGTTTCTTGCATCCATTTTTAAGACTTACTTTGAAATAGATTTTCCAAACATTGCATCATAACAGAAACTAAGGAAACTGATGACCACTTTATCAAACCATCCAGATGATGTGACAGCATCTAGACTGTCTGGAAGTGCTTATTGGAGGCTGCTGATGTTATGAGTTGTTTATTTTAAGGAGCACTTGTTAAGATATAATTTTGATAAAGATAAATGGGAGTTAATGGCAAGCTAGTAGCGCGTGACTCGGCCATTATAATTTATATTTAAGACTAATCCACAGACTTTAATTCTGCCATAGAGATGAGATAGCGATAGCAATTCAGTAGCACTGTGAGATGCACTCACTCTGTGTCAGGTGGTGCTAAAATATGAATGTTTGGCTTTCTAATGACCATAAACTTGTGTTGAGTATCTAAAAGTAGCTCTAAATCTAAGAACTGGTGGCACAGTATGCTGCAAGTTTAGTTTTGGGCAGAAATGTTGAATACAACTAGAAACAACATTTACATAGAATCTCTACATTCATAGCAATTGGAAAGTCATTCATAGGAATTGGAAAGTTAAAGACTGCTTTTCACTTTGATAAAACTTGGAACTATACTATAGTCCTCTTCCAACACAGTGGAATTTCTTCAGAGTAGGTGATTAATCTGTCACAGACTGTATTCCAAACAGATTAACAAAGAGAAATAGTAACTCTCAGAGTCCTGGATCAAGAATTCATTGTTTAAGAAAGAGATATTGGAGGGGGGGGGGAGAGGCTTCTAAGCCATCCTTGTAGCCAGTCAGTTACAAATAAGTCCCATTATTTGAGAAACATTGAAACTTAACATCTGACTGATGTGCAACATGTAACTTAGGCTGCGGTGCTAATAGGAAATTAAAAGCAATTACATTATTTGGATTTTATACTTGTTCAGTAGTTTCTCTGGAAGAATGGGAGGCTAGCATACAAAGAAACACAATTTCTCTAGAAGTCTTCAAGACTGACTATGGATAGCAAGATTCCATTCTAGGAACATCACCGCCAATCTTATTTTATTTATTTACTTACTTTAATTTCTAACGGTGGCAGCAACTACTTGAACCAAGACCAGGCTGCTACAATATCTGCTTTCTTGTATAATGAGAGAACTATACTTTTTCTTAAAATCTTGAACATTTTTTTCATACAGTCTAAACATTTGCTAAGTTGCAAACATGGAACATCAGTTTCTCTCAACATCCCATACAGTCATTATTTAACTACATAACCTGTGGAACCCCAATAAATATGCTTGTTTGGCTTTCCTACCAGGCTCAGTTATCAAGGCAAACAGATTTACATAGTTATTGTTCCAGGTAAACATAACTTTTTAAAAACCTGCTTGTTTTTTTTTTTTTAAAAACTGGGTGGGAATGTGGCTCATTCAGCTGTGTGATAGGACAACCAACACAAAATGCAACTTTATTCAATTTTCTCAAGATTTCTCCCAGACTCTGTTTTGTTCTCTCCTTTGCAGCTAAGATAAGTAAGTCTACATTTTGAACCTCAGAGTCCACCCAGACAAGTAATCAAAACAGGAAAAAAAAGACATATTTAATTCATGATCACTATAGGAAAAAATAAATATATTTATGATCACTGTTATTATATCAGCTGGAGGGGAAAACTCCGTCTCTGACAATTAAATGCAGAGCGTCAGAGCTGCCACCACCCCCCACTCCTCCATGCCAGCTCCCCAGTATTTATTTATTTATCTATCTATTAAATTTTTGTTCATTCTTTTATTTTCTTTCAAAAAAAAAAAAAAAAGCCTTCCGCTTTACTTGAGTTATCCCTGGAGGAGTTGAAGGCAGGGCGGGTCCAAATAAATCCATCCCGAGTCGCGTGTGGCAACTTGTCTTTAAACCACCACGTCCCTGTGCAAAACTGCAAAATAAGCTTACCCAGAGAGATGCTCGTTTAAAAGTAACGGTCTTAAAAGAGGGGAAGCGATGCCTTCTCTCGATGCCTTCAAGTAACGTGCTGTAGGAGAGTTTCTTTCTTTCTTTCTTTCTTTCTTTCTTTCTTTCTTTCTTTCTTTCTTTTTCTTTCTTTTCTTCCTTTTCTTTCTTTCTTTCTTTCTTTCTTTCTTTCTTTCTTTCTTTCTTTCCTTCCTTCCTTCCTTCCTTCCTTCCTTCCTTCCTTCCTTCCTTCCTTCCTTCCTTCCTTCCTCTTTCTTTCTTTCTTTCTTTCTTTCTTTCTTTCTTTCTTTCTTTCTTTCTTTCTTTCTTTCTTTCTCGTCCTTTCTTTCTTCCTTCCTTCCTTCCTTCCCTTTTCTTTTCTCTTCACTCACTCCGCGTGTTTGCTCTCCGGCAGCCTTTGCCCACCGCGACTTTAAATAACTCTCCCCTGGAAGGTCCTCCCTACTACTCCATCTCTTCCTCCGCCGAACTCCTTCCTTCCTTCAGCAGCGCGGTCACATTTTACCGCTATGCCCTGTCTTCTTTTCAAAACAAGTCAGCCTGGGAAGGATTCAAGCCGCCCTCCTTTTTGCCTGCCTCTCGCTCATTCATTCTCACCAGCACGCCTTGGAGGAGGAAAAAAAACCAAAAATGCCGTTTTCTTTTCTTTCTTTTTTTCTTTTGGACCTCGGAATTACACCAGGGAGCAGTCTCGGCACAGCAAGAAGAAGCTGTGAAGAGGGGAAGGGGGAAAAAAAAAAAAGAAGAAGGGCTAGGAGAATTACTTAATCACCCGTCTAACAGCTGCTGCTGCTGCGGCTGTTTTCTTTCGCCTTGCCTAGCTATGCTTTCCCCCCCTCCCTGCCTCTCTCTCTTCCACCCCTCCACCCCCCATGTCTACATAGGAATTATAGAGGCGGCTGGGAGGAGGAGGAGGATGGGCAGAAGCCGCCCGTTCCTTTCAGCTAATCACCCTCAAGGTTTTCAAGGACTAAAGGAGCCGCTGTGATGTCATGCTGACTCTCCGGACGAGTGTGGAGTTCTACGCGCAAGCAACACACACACAGATTTCCGACAGAAGGGAATTCGGCGAGAGAGAGAGATCAACTAGATTCCGCTCACACCCTCCCGCCGGGGGGATCGATCGCTCGAGGGATGGATGGATGGATGAGCCGTTCCTGCAGGATTTGCATCAAACCTGTCATTGTAAATGTTTGGGAATCCACCTCCCTGCTTAACTTGGCTTGCCTTCGATCCTGGAGTGAAAATGCCACTCGCGGGGATTTGGGGGAGAGGATGCTTTCCCTGACTCCCCCCCCTTTTTTTTAAAAAAAAAGACGGAAATGAAAAGTTTGAAGAGTGATTTTTTTTTTTATTCCTGTCACCCCAAAAAAAATAATAATAAAAAAGGCAATTGCGAAGCGTTGAGGGTGGAGCTGGCACAGAGTGGAAGAATTCTACTTTGACTGAGATTGACAAGATGATGGATAAGCGTTTGTCAGAAGTGGTGTAGGGTATCCTGCCTAAGCAGGATAGAGTTGGACTAGAAGACCTCCAAGGTCCCTTCCAACTCTCTTAGTGGCTAAGGCACTGAGCTTGTCGATCGAAAGGTCCGCAGTTCAGCGGTTCGAATCCCTAGGGCCGCGTAAACGGGGTGAGCTCCCGTTACTTGTCCCAGCTTCTGCCAACCTAGCAATTCGAAAGCACGTAAAAAATGCAAGTAGAAAAAATAGGGACCATCTTTGGCGGGAAGGTAACAGCGTTCTGTGCGCCTTTGGCGTTTAGTCATGCTGGCCACATGACCACGGAGACGTCTTCAGATAGCGCTGGCTCTTCGGCTTTGAAACAGAGATGACACCACCCCCTAGAGTCGGGAACGACTAGCACATATGTGCGAGGGAAACCTTTACCTTAGATATTAGAAGATGCTACTGATCTTGCACAGAATTCGAAGGATTATCACTCCTTCGATCTAGAAATTATAAATCCTTCAGGTTTAAATACCAGGCAGGTACGGGGATTCACAGAGGGGTTCTTCCTTTCCTTAATGAATATACTACAGGTAGTCCTCAACTTACAACAATTCATTTAGTGACTGTTCAAAATTACAATGGATGGCACTGAAAAAAAGTGACTAAGGACCATTTTTCACACTTATGACCTTTGTAGCATCTCCATGATCATGTGATCAAAATTCAGACTCTCGGCAACTGCTTCGTACTTACGACCATTGCTGTCTCCCCAAGGTCATGTGATTTACCTTTTGACAAGCAAAGTCCACGGAGAAGCCAGATTCACTTAACAACCGCATTACAACCTTAATCAACTGCAGTGATTCACTTCACAACTGTGGTGAGAAAGATCATAAAATGGCGCAAACTTCACTTCACAAATATCTCACCTAACAATAGAAATTTTGAGCTCAATTGTGACTGTAAATCAAGGACTACCTGTAACTGCTTTTTTTATGCAATGTCCTCATGTATGATCTTTGTCTCATCCCAGCTAATAACTGAGCCTAAAGTTCTATGATATCCATTATTTCCCACTTCTCCTGATAAGACCTATCTCATTACTTCCTTCATCATCAGTTGTTGTTGACATAGTCAATGGGGAAGGGGGATCTGCCAGACCCTTTTAGTTCCTCAAATCGATGTCTTCCCCATGCCCTGCCTTTGATGCATTCCTTCCAAGGTCCTTTGGGCTGGGGAGCCAACATCTGGCTTTTTACAGAAGTATCTGTGTATGGAAGCCTCCCTGGTGCTTTCTATACCCTTTGTCAAGCTTCTTTTAAATGTAGGTTTTCTGGTCCCGAAAAAGAGCATTAAATGTGTTATTTGAACACCAGTTTGATATTCTTTTGAAAGACTGTTTGAATCCTGGGCTGCACAAAAGGTCAATTTATATTGGGAAGGAAAGTTGGGTTCTGCCAGTTATATATGTTTCCGATTCTGCCATTATTAAGTATATTACAGGGGAGGGGTTTTTTTTTTGATGCTTCAGATGATAATGAGTTTCTTAGAGCCAGATCTTTACTGTTTTACTACTTTTATTAATTCTTGAACACTACACTGTTGCCCTGACTGGTTGATGCTCTCAGGTCCAGTTCCCTTGGGTATTGTGTGTATGTGTTGTGCAATACACCATAGGAGGATCAGCATAATTTTACCTATTCCATTCCAGCTGCTTCTTCTGGGTGCCTTTGGACAAGAGAACTGAAAGTTTGTTTATTGGTCACTTTCACAGTCATGCCCTTACAGTGTACCATTGCTCCTCAAGCTTCATTTTATGAACTTTTATTAAAAAAAAAGGATGTTGAGATGCTAGAAAAAATGCAGAGGAGAGCAACCAGGATGATTAGGGGACTGGAGGCTAAAACATATGAAGAACGGTTGCAGGAACTGGGCATGGCTAGTCTAGTGAAGAGAAGGACCAGGGGAGACATGATAGCCGTCTTCCAATGTTTGAGGGGCTGCCACAGAGAGGAAGGGGTCAAACTATTTTCCAAAGCACCTGAAGGCCAGGCAAGGAATAATGGATGGAAACTAACCAAGGAGAGATTCAACCTAGAAATGAGGAGGGACTTTCTGATAGTGAGAACATTCAACCAATGGAACAGAAGTTGCCTTCGGAAGTTGTGGGAGCTTCATCACTTGAGACTTTCAAGAAAAGATTGGATTTGTCAGAAATGGTGTAGGGTCTCCTGCTTGAGGGGGGGGTTGGACTAGATGACCTATAAGGTCCCTTCCAACTCTGTTAATCTGTAATCTGTAAACCTTATTCACCCATGTCCTTTTTTTCCCCCCAGAAAAAGCACAAGTGAGCAGTTGTCTTAGCAAGAGCATTGGGAGAAGCCCCTCCTGCTTTGTCCTGTTCTCCCTCCTTTCCTTCAGTGTTTGCCATCTGTTAAGCAACTTGACAGATCACTAAAGCTTCCATTCAATCTGTCCCATCCTTTTTCATCCCCACTTTAGAAAGAGTGATTGGTGATTGTTTTCATACCAACCTGTGATGCTTGGTGGCAGGGAAAAGACATTAATTGCTCTCCTTAACTTCAGAAAGAATCTGGCTGCATGGCACCTTCTCTGACTAACATTTGAAAAGAAAAGAGGCAGAACAGCTTTTCTGATGAAGTGAGATACAGCTCGCAAAAAGCTTTTGCCTTTTGATGAAACTTGTTAATCGGAAAAGGTGCTACCAAAGTCCTCATTTGTTGACACTAGTATAGACTGACATGGCTTCCTCTGCTACAATGTCCCCTTAATTTGGCACTAAAGTAGTAAAAATAGTGCTAGTCATCAGCTTCATTGCTATCATAGAATAGACTGACATTAGACCAATAAAATTTAAGTTGGTATACTTTTCTGTCAGTTCAAGCAGTAGTGAATAGGAGTATAATATGCACCAAAGACAAATTTTAGTAGCTATTTTTATTGTTTTCATTGTTTTAATTTCTGTGAGATTCCCTGAGTCCTTTGGGAGAAGGGCGGTATATAAATATAATAAATAAATAAATAAATAAATAAATAAATAAATAAATAAATAAATAAATAAATAAATAAATAAATTCCTTGTGTGTCCAATCACACTTGGCCAATAAAGAATTCTATTATTCTATTCTAATTCAGCCATAAAGAAGAGCCCAATGTCTCTGCACCATCCCAAAAGGTTAAATGATAAAACTTGAATTTGGGACAGACTATATAAAATATATACTGTACCATCATCATTCTGATACTGTTAAGTCTGCTATTCTCTATAACCTTATCACAGATAATAAGATTTGTACTGTCCATGGTATGAGTCAAATATACAGAAACTTAATATGTGAGCCATTAGAATTGCAGGTCAAATATTTGTCTCTGTCTTCCCTAAAACTGATGTGGCCTAAACACTTTTAACTAAAACTGCTTAGATACTTTGGTTTTTTTCAAAAAAAAAAGAGTATTTAAAATGGTTTGTTTATTTATTTATTTATTTATTTATTTATTTATTTATTTATTTATTTATTTTTGGGTTTGATTTATATGCCGCCCTCTTCTGGAGACTCAGGGAGGCTTACAATGTGTTAAGCAATAGCCTTCATACTTTTGTATATACCTGCTTAGTAGGGCTTTCAGCCCCCCCCCCTAAGCCGTGTTCTTTTTTT